CTTGTTCAGCATGGAGAAAAGAAGGCTGCGGGGTGACCTCATTGCAGCCTTTCAGTACCTAAAGGGAGCCTACAGACAGGAGGGCAGTCAACTCTTTGAAAGGGTAGATAACAGCAGGACAAGGGGAAATGGTTTTAAGTTGAGGGAGGGAAAATTTAGGTTGGATGTCAGGGGGAAGTTCTTTACAGAGAGAGTGGTGAGGTGCTGGAACAGGCTGCCCAGAGAGGTTGTGGATGCCCCATCCCTGGAGGTGTTCAAGGGCAGATTGGATGGGGCCCTGGGCAGCCTGGTGTAGTATTAAATGTGGAGGTTGGTGGCCCTGCATGTGGCAGGGAAGTTGGAGATTCATGATCCTTCAGGTCCCTTCCAACCCTGGCCATCCTGTGATTCTGTGATTCTGACAGAATTTGCAACATCTGTATTCAGCTGACTCATTAGAGAGCAGGTGCTCTTCAGGGCGGGGATTGAGAGCTTCTGGAACATCTTATGTCATTGAACCTGACTATGGTACTTCCGTGTCATGTTCTTAAAACAGATTTCCTGACTCCTTACATGACTATTTACCATGCGATGTACATAACTGAGTGCTTTAAGGAGTTATGCTACTCCTCCATGTCATGTGCTTAAAGTGAAATATGTCTTACATGCTGTCACAAATAATTGTGAAATATCTTGCACGTTTGTTACAGAACAGATACTTGAAAACTCTGCTAATAAGCTACAACAACATTTGCATGCTTAGCTTAACAAGAAGGCAATGTTTGTATGCATCATTAAACTGAAAGGGATTCTGTATCACAAAGCCCAGTTAGGTGATACAATTACTAGCACACTTAATTTGTACTATTCTGGTCGTTGAACAGCTTTCCTACAAAAGCAGACTTGCATCTACAGAGAATGATGCATCAGCTATGCACATGTTTATGGCTGTATGTTCATGTATATTTACGCATCCATAAAAATATCATTGTGATATCCCATTTTCAGGCAGTTCCTTAAACTCCTAGAATACATTTACAGTGAGCAATAAATTTAACTGTAAAACAAGGTCATATTACTATGTGCTGCATGAAGTATTGACTGAGAAATTCAACTACTATAGCAACAGTAGTTTATGAAGCAGGACAACAGCAATTGTTCTACTACTCTTAGCAAAATTCTCAATGATTTACTGATGTATATAGATATGTATTCATCTCAATTGGATTTCTTGTGTAAAAAAAAAAAAGAGAAATAATTGGTGCATTCTTTCATTTTATTTAGGCAGATTAGCAGATCCTACAAATGGGACTTCCTGTGGCCACAGAAACCTGTGTATATCTGTAAGAAGTTGGTGGTCCTGTAAGTATACTCTATCACAGTGTTCTTCAAAATATGATTTGTGTCCTAGAGGGCAAGAGTTTGGAACCACCTTTGCATTAGGCAGTGCCAATAAAAAATAAAGTGACAAATTTTAGTGGAGGGCCAACTGTGACATAGTTCAGCCATGCGTGTTGTTGATATCAGTCTTGGTCGGTGTGGTGGAGCACCTCATCCTCCTGTGGTACATGAGGCCCACTGCAAGATTTTCTGCAAGATTTTTCTGAATCATGGGAGAAATTACAGAATGTGAGACAGCAAGTAGTAGGTTTTTAAATAGTAGGGAATATTTTGTCCTTAAGCTCAGAACTTTGCAAAGAGTAAAGGATGTGATCTAGTATGCTGCACGTAAGTCAAAGGTATCTATTGCTCTGCAGAACAATCCACCAAATAACACTTCCAGCACAAATGAAAAAAACACCAGCACTACAATGCGCTTTGTCTCAAATGCTAGCACACGCATGTGGCTTCTTTTCCTCTGCTAATTTTTACAGCCAGTGTTTATGTGGAAATGGACTTCTTAAAGGACAATGTATGGATAGATTTTTCACAGAGTTGATCTTAAAAGGCAATTTTTTTTTTCTGAGTCCAAAAGTAAAATAAAAATCACAGTTAAATTTTCTCATTTGATAAATCAAAAATACTTTAATAATTTTCCTACATCAAGGAAAACTGAGTAACATAAACATGACCAGTCTAAATAGAAGGATCTTTTGTTTCCATTATCCAAAAAGCTGAATGAACACATTATTTAAAAGCCAACAAACAAAACCACTAAAGTTTTCCTTGTATCCAATTTCAGTCAAAGTCAGTATTTTTAGGCTCTTTGTTTTTTTTTTGTTTTTTTTTTTTTTTAATGAAACTGGAAGTCTGTCTCTTCTGGAAAGATTAGCTTCCATTTTTTCCAAAAAATGGAACTGACAGATAGAAGGGGAGAAAAAAAAAGACAAGCTTGACTTACAGTCAGTATTTACATCTAACGTCAATAAAAATATGAAAATCTCTCTCTCTCTTTTTTTTTTTTTTTCAAATGCACTTCCCCTCCACTGAAAAGGGAAAACCTTTCCCTCTCCAGCACATTTTCACTCCATCACTTTTGTCCCTCACTCCCTCTGCTTCCTTGCTGTTCTGCTGTGAGTGCACATTTCCACAAGACCTGCTGCTTGGCTGCAGTGAATTGCTCTCTCTATCCCCATCACACCCGTGCTTTGTTGTAGAGGCTTCTGACAGTGAAATAGAAACTGATTTCATATCTCCTCATGTGACCAAAACTGTGAGCAAAGAGTAAATTAAAATGTAAATGTAGTGCTAAACCAAATTTCACTGTGATACTCAATCCAAGTTCAATTTGTGTCTGTGAGTATAAATACAACTGGGTGCTCAGGAGAAGGTGTCCCATGCATTGACAAGTAAGAGGGGTCACTGCATAGATCTGTGCAGAACAGAAATCAGAAACAGAAATCCTGGAACAGAAATCAGATTTATCTTCAGTATTTGCATTCCTGCTCTTCACTTACTTTTGAACACTGTAAGTCTTCATGATAGCAAGTTTTCCTCCAGGAAATGTATGATCTCAGCCTTGATTTACCCTATTGTACCAGGAATACACAAAAAGTATTTCAGACTGCAGATAAATGCCTTATTGTTCTGAGGATGTAAGCGGCTTGGTCTGGTCTCCAGGGCAACCCTCCCTGGCATGCATAGTCATACTAAGCTGGGAATAAGCTGAAGCCAGAAACTCACATTTAACATGTCCCAAAGTAAAAGAAACTCTGCTTGAAAGACTGCTGCTGAAGAAGTCCTGTCCTCCTTTTGACCTAGAATAATATTCAGTGTATTCCTCTGTTGCACTGTTCTGTTGTCTGAGTTCCCCAAGCAGGTATAAATAAGTAATACGTGCAAACATATTTGAAAGAATTTAAGCGTATTCTGGTGTGAAATCCAAGTTTCAGCTTCTCTGGTGAAAACAATGAATGAAAAGAAAGACTCAGCTTAGTAATGACTCCTAGTGAGACACTGTCTTCTCATCACTTGGGGCCTCTGTTTGGCTCTTGTCACTGGCTATACATCTCCTCTAGAATCCCTAGCCAGGCCCAAGCACATACAGGAGCTGGAATAATTATTAGGATAGGGATATACGATAGGGTATAGTGCTTTGGTGATTTTGGTCCTCACTGCTGGAACCATGTGCAAATAGCTGGGCAATCTATGGCACTGAGATTAAGCATGAGCAAATGACGTCTTAACTCCATGGCTCAGAGCTACCTACCCAACAAATCTGAGCTTTAGACTGTTCTTTGTTGGAAGTCATTACAATTTATTTCTACAAAGAAGAACACAATCAAGAGGAGAATCTAAAATTGTTCTTCCAACATGAAGAACATCAAAAGTCATACAAACACTTTCATGGAAGATTTGGTCCAGCGCAGGCAGGAGCTGAACTTGGCTTTCCTACATGCTTACCACCAACATATAAATTAATATTTAAAGTTGTATATGAATCTATACAGTTATTACTACTAGGGGATTTCAGTACATACGTCCCACTGCTGGACATAATTGTATCAGTGGCATTTTGAAATGACTGCATTTGTTGTAGAAGATTCATTTCTCCATGTGGAAATTGTTTGCTTCTTAGCAATTAAAGCCTCCTCCTTTCCAATTCTTACTGCAGGTATGAATTACTACCTGTCTATCATACCTTTTTTGGGTGCAGTGGAAGCTGGCCTCTTTGGAGAGGTGAAGTACGAGGTAGAAATGCTGCTGCCAGAGGACCGAAGAGATGATTTCTGTTACAGTGTTGCTGACTGCCGTTCTCGCATTCCGGAGCTCATGGATGAGTGGAAGGCTTACTTTGAAGTAAACAATTTAAATTTTTTAAAATATTTTGTAGGAGATTATACTTGAATATTTCTTTTTAAAACTCTTATTATTATTTGTTGCATTTTGGTGGCTTGATTAACTTTCAATAGCAACTTGATAAAAAAAGGTAAGCAATGGAAAAAAGCAAAGCATGACATAAAATGAATGAGAGATGAGAAAGACAGGATTTTTACAGGTTAATTATTCTTTTCCTTCCTTTCAAGATAATTTTGTATTTTAGCATCTGTCCCTAGAGTCTGTTAACGGTTACACTTGTTTCCTAATGTTAGCAATTCCAAATTATGCAGGCGAGATAGATATTACCCTAGAGAAATGGTCTTGAGATGGTTTTATAGGGCCTTTTTATTCCTTTGAACATCAAAAAAACTGAAATTCAGGAGGATATTTTTAATACATCTACGTACTCTGTTTCCACATCATTCAGTTGCTCTCCAGTCACAAATATAACTGTACTTCTTACTTCATAGGTTCAATAATGCTTTTTATAGATAACCTTTATTCAACATTTTTGTTCACAGTCAGGTAATGGATAATGATCAGCAAATTAAAACCACAAGTAACCTGGTGATTTTAAGTAGAGGAATAGGTTTTAAGAACAAGGCTGGATTTGTTTTCTGCAATTTTTTTATACTAAACAGTATATTTAGGAAGTTATTATAAATGATCACATAATTACAACCATTAAGGTTTATTTTCTTATTTTTTGAAATTTCTTAGCATGTGCAGCTGAAAGAGTAACTGTTTTTTGAGAAATTCAGTATTTTCACATGGAAACTTCCACTGCACTCAGATACAAGAGTCCAAATTACTGTGACAGAATACCTGAATTATGTGGGAAAAACATTCACTCTGTTGAAGCTAAAGAATTGCAAATCTTATTAATTTCAGTCAGAATAGAAATTCATTCTAGAAATCTATATTAATAATTTCTCCCTATGTCAGATAGTACAGTTATTTACAAAGTACATGTAACACATTCTAACTACTCATAAGCAATTTTCTTTAGCTTGAAAGCTTATTCTACTGTGAAGTATGTAAGTGTGAAAAATGTATTGATTTTAAAACATCCTCTTATTTCTCTGCTTTTTTCTCCCTCTTGCTGCAGTATCTGCAGTCTACAGAGCAAAAAACCGTGAACTCTGCGAAGTCCTCCTTTGTGCTGGATGATGCTCTCCACTACATGTGGAAGGCGCATGTTGCCTCCATTGCTTATGCGCTGCCCAAATTCCAGGACAGGTATGGGAATGTGAAAGATGGCCATGGGGACCTTCTTACCTCCATGTCTGTTTGCTAGGATAATGCCTGAGCAATGCTTGTATGAGGCTCTGGGCTTTCCCTCTCGAGGAGCGGGAGATATCCGGCAAGAGATGAAGCATCAGCACAACAGGCTGTGATAGGCAGGCATCAATATGCTGATTCCTATCTGAAAGCCAGGGCCTCAGCCAGGAGCTGTATCTAACCTGTCCAAAGATGGTTATGCCAGGAGAAATTATACATAAAGTGCTGCAGGAGGTTTTAAGTCACTACTAAATTGAGATTGCTCAGGATTTCACACTGATCAAAACTCATTTGGTATAAATGATAGATTACTGTGTTCTACTGTGGGTTTCAATTATCTGATCATTTTTTACTTTTATTTCTTACAGCTTAAAATATCTTGCTGTTCCAGAAGCAAATTTTGGTGAAGACTGGGCTAATGGTGTAGATTTCATTGCAGCCACACATTTCTCTACAGATTTGCATACCACAAACCACTTCCAGGCTTTCCTGCCCCAGAGGATGCTTGTTGAAGGGGATGTCCTCCCATCCATCAGTGGCTTCAGTTCACAGCAGAACAAAGTTCTTGTATCACTGAGAGCTCTTAACAGAGCAAATCAATTAACAGGTATGAGCCTCACCTAAAGAAGCTGGTAGTCCATAGATATCTTACATCTTCTGTTTCTGTACTTTTCTCCACATGAATGAAGTGATTTTCAATATACGGTAGTAAAATCACTTCATAGAGATGAAAAGTAAAAAAATATGACTAAAAGTATAACCACAAGTGAACAGTGCACCAGAAAAAAAGTACAGCAGTGAGATAACGCTGACAGTATGTGATGGGGACTTCACACTAGACAAAGGTTATGTTTGTAGGACCATATGATCTTGCTCTTTTTTTTCTCCAGTTTACCCAGGAACTTTAAAAATGATCACCAGCTTGCATTTCACAAGTTAAATCTGAAACCATCAAAGCTGTAAATCAATTTACTGGATCAGTTGAGGTCATAATAAAAAAAAAAAAAAGAAAAAAGAAAAAAAAAAGAGCAAAAGATCAAAAACAATGCTTTGTATGTCCACAAGTATTCTGCTTAGTTGTTGGTTGTTGTTTTTGTTTTTGTGGGATATGTTTTTGTTTTCCATCTCAATCTTTGGTGTTATGGAAAACATTACGCAGACCCACAGAATTCTCTCCCAGCACTAGAACACTATCCTTTAGACAGCTTTAACTAAAATAAGTTCTGCATCACCATCCAGTGGTGAGACATAAAATTACAGTATTTGGATGGGCTGATACTATTTATTTATTCATCCTTTATGAAAGGAAGCTATTTAAATTAAAACACAATGTGAAGTTACACCATAAAGCTAGTATCCAGAGCCATAGTTTGTTTGTTGTTGTTGTTTTGTTTTGTTTTTGTGATCTTCTGTCCAAATACTTCAATGAAAATTCAGTAGCTGTATTTAGTGTTGGAAGACTGATTAATGAAGATATTATGTGTTACAAAAGAGCATCCTCACACCACAAATTGTTTTCCTCACACATAATGGTGAACATTGCTTCATAATTTGAATAAGGATCATAACAGCTTTGTCATATGACTGGTAACCTATGTCACAGTTCAGGGTTTCTTAAGAGCTTCAGGGAGCTCTTAAGAGCTCTGTCCCCTGCATGGTAGCCTATGTAATGGATCATAGAAACAGGTTTCTTCACCAATCTAGAATTCATCTCTCCACTGTGGGGACAGCAAGAGAAAGCAGGACTTGCAGGGTAGAAATCAGGGAGCAGAGCACCAGGGCAGCAGAGCAGATGAATGCAGGACCGAAGGGAGAAAGAAGAGGCAAGGATGCTGAAGATGTTCTATATGGATGTAGCCATTAACAGTGTGGTATCTATCTGAAATCCCTGGCTTTGCAGGCTGGAGATTTCCCTGACTCTGCTTTGAAGGGTTGAGCTTTGCTTTCAGTTGAGGGTTGTATGCAAGCTAGCTCAACCTGCTGATAGCTTTGCAGATCAGAAATGGAACTTTAAACTATATTCAACTATATTTGGCTCTGGACTGACAGTCTAAAAGTGGATCTGAAAAGCTAGACCTTGTTGTTACAGCACCTGTGACAAAATGAGATATACTGTTCTGTTGAGCCGGATTCTTCAAACTTTTAAACAGAGCAGAGGAGAGCAGGCAATGAGCATTGTACAAACTGGTGCTAAAGCAGGACTGGTCAGGAATGCTTCATGGAGAATGACTGCTAATTGCCTTGATGAAAGTATAGGGGTCATTCGCTTCTTTAGCTTGAGGCCTCAGAGGGGTAGAATAGTAAATTCTTTGCTTATTTAGAGTAAAAACAGAAGTGTGCATGACTGCAACCATCAGGCCATTGCTTCATAAGCTATGAAGCTATGTGCAATTCCAGAACAAGGCCCTGACATGTGTCTTCAATCATTTTGATTTGCAACACTGGTGACAAGGGAACAAGCCAAGTTGTCCATCAATACAAAGGAACCCAAGCTGAATGAATAGCCTGTGTCTTCCTACATAGCTGTAGGCAATTACTACACCATCAGCATGCTCCAGCCTTGTCACTACCTCAGGAGAGTGGTTAGGTGTTTGCAGCCAGACATGTGCTTCATCCCTTGTGTGCCTCGAGCTGCATGTACTCCATGTTAATCTGACAGTGACACATTGTGTTTCTTTCCAAGGAGGACTGTCACTGAAGCTCTGGCAAAAGTCAATGTCTACTGAAGCAGCAAGGAAAATTGGCCGAAAACTGATTGAGGACTTGGTTGCCAGTCCGAGTTTTGACTGGTAAACTGGTCTTGGTAATTTCTTTACAGCAGGATTTCCTGAATAGCCATGTGGGCATCTCTCTCATATTGAATCGATACTTGTATCCTTAATTTTTTTTTTTTAATTAACTCATTTGTTCAATTAATCTCCTTAATAAAATGCCTTACAAAAAAAAAATCTAAGTTTATTACTTTCTTGACTTCATAAATGATGTATCATTATTGGAGAGAAAGTTGAAGGTAACTTACATTCAGTTACGGACTGTTTCCTTCCCCCTGTATACAGTGATCACAGCAAATATGTACTCAGGTCCTTGATGGTCTAACAGATGATGTCCCAACACTTTTCTTTGAGTTATGATCCCATGCCAGTGCTTTGACAATTTCCTACTGAAGTTGCTGTTCTACAGAGCAGCTGCAATTAAAGATTTTAGGCTTTTTTTTTTTTTTTTTTACATACTTCAGTACAGATGAACTCCTTCTCTAAGATGCTATGCAACAGGTAAGTGCTGCACCTGATGCTCAGGAGACAGCCCCAAGAGATCCTGAGCCCAATGTGCTTACTCTGCAGAGCTCTTAAGTAACTAACAGAATTTCTGTTGTTTGGTTTGTTACACAGATGTCAATGAAGCATTGGTTTATCCATCAACTTCTGTGATTAGGTAGTCCATACAGTTGTAGAATTAGTTTTCCTTTTGTACATTAGATATGATTATTAAGAAAGAATTGAGTTTGCATTGTGCGTCATCACAATGTCTAGCAGAGTCAGATCCAGATGCCAATCACACTCTTCCAGATGACAACACAATATGGAGAATTCATTAAAAAAAACGTGGCATCAGAAGTTGAGGAAAACTGGGACAGGGGGCCTGAAGGCAGAAGTTTCTCAGGAAGTCTGCTGACTTGGGTCCTCCATCCTTACAAAAACTTTACCTGGAGAATGGGAATGGCTGGAGCTGCCTTCTCAAGATGGAGAGCAGAGGATGGCAACACAACTCCTGCCTGCTGCATCTTGTGGGTTACAGCTTACAATATAGTTCAAAATAACACAAGCTTTAGACTCATGTCAAAATAAAGGCAAGCAGCTTAGTTTAGCCACCACGTAAGGGCTACCCTGCCTCTTTCAGTCATTCCTAGCATCTTGGTTGGTAACTGTGTCTCATAGGCATCTCAGTACACCCTCATTTGGGGTGAGAGATACATATCACTCTTTCTCTTTGTTTCCTAACAAGCACAGAGCACAAGGATCCAAAATTTTCAATATATATCAGTGAAAAGCTCATCCTCTGGCTGTGTACAACCTTTGCACTGGGAAGAGAGGAGGATGCTGCAGGTGGAGCCACAGCACACAGCATTTCAGAGCTTGCAAACAGCTCTGAGACAGGGAATCAGGCCAGGCAGCCAGCAACAAGGCTAAAATCACAGCATTTCCACACTCAAAGGCCCGCTGCCACACAACAGTCAGGTCCAGGGCCCAGGTGTCTCTTCGCTCTTGAATTCGAGCTCCAGACAGCCTGAGCATTAACAGGTAGTGGTGCTTCTCAGGGGTCTGCATATCTCAGTGGAAGTCCTGAGTTATTTTATGGATACTAAATAAATGAAAAGGAAAATATTTGTCCTTCCTGGCCACTTTCCCAGTTCAATTGGTTCGTTCTCCCCAAACTGGCATGATATTTGCACTGTAAATGAAGAAATAGCCATCGAGACATCGAGCACTTAAGCACTATTTTGACCTCTGATGTCCCAGGACAAAGGTTTCAATTATTCATTGTCATTTTATGGATAAACTCTTAATGTACCATCATTAGCTAATGATTTTAAAGGAAATAAGTTAACGAGGTCTAAGAAAATGCTGGAGTTTTTACCTTAATTACCTGGTTCATAGATCAGAGTAATTAGATTTCAACAGACTTTAGGTATAATCTAAAAGTAATTACTGCAGCTGCCAGCTGTTAACGCATTAGATTAATTGTACTCAAGAAAGTTTGAGAACAATTTTCAGTCTTTTCTGTGGTTAACTCAGGTTTTAATCTCAGGTGGGCTTTAAGAAAACAAACAAACAAACAAAAAAAACTACAAAAAATAAGAAACAGCAACAAATATTCAACCATTAATGCAAACAGGAAAAACACATTTCTTACAAGCTTGCAAATTGCTGCACTTAAGGAGATATTTCTAAGAGATATTTTTTAAAAGGCTAATATTTTCTGAACTGAGTTCATGACAACATTAAGAATTACTTTATTATTTTGAAAAAATACTATCTCTCTTAATAAACCTTCAGGTATTAATGCATTTCAAACACATTTCAAACAAGTCAAAAACGCCGATCTGTCAGGTATAGGCTCCAGGAACTGGACAGCAATTGAGCCGTGCGGTCTGAGGCACGTATAAAAGTTTAGACAAAACATAGTTTGCTTTCCCAAAAGTAGAGCAGATGCAGATAATCTAGAAACAAAACAGATGCATCCTAGTAGGAATACATCTGGGTGTCAGAATGTAGGGAAAAGGGATAATAGGAGAAAGCAGTGAAAAGGAAGAAGGATGGGAGAGCACTGGAGTCTGTGCTTGATAAAGCTGGCAAAGGCTGAAAAAAAAACAAAGTCAGAGGTGTGGCTGTTGCCCTTGCCTAGGTGGTTGTAATTGGGAATACAGCTGTTGCACTTCACCTTGCCAAAATCTAGATGTGTCCCAAACTGTCTCATAATGGACATATATTAGGGGTGAGGCTATCTCCCTTCTTGCTGGATAAAAGGAAAGCCACTTCTACCTTTTTTTTTTCTTTTTTTTTCTTTTCTTTTTCTTTTTTTAAGAATGAGGCATAGAGCTTGCAGGGCTTGCATGCAAAGTTGTTTGAAAAAATGTAAAAAAGTATTTTTCTTTCAAGCTGGATTCTTGAATTTCCATTTCCCTGTGATTCCAAATCTGTTTGGGCTCCTTTACTTACCAGCCCATGCTCTCTAACGCATAATTAAGTATTAATTATATTAAATTAATATTACATAATATTAAACATTATATACTATATATAAAATATCAATATTATATAATATTAATATTATCATATTATTTTATATAATATTATTATATTACATAATAAATATTATATAAATAATATCAATTAAAATTTCCATAGTGGGAAAAAATACTTTCCTATTAGGTATGGAAGGAGAGCAAATATATTTTTGCCCAGAGCAGCCTTTAACCCAGCAGTTAGTGGGCTCTGCTGGGTGGTAGAAGAGGTTGTTTTGTAGCTTGCAGGACAGAAAACCTAGCATACTCCTTTGACAGCTGGTGCACAACATGAAGATCCACCTTTCCCCAGAACAAACTGTTCACTTACTTACATTTTCAGACCAGTTTATGTTATCTCCCGCTCTTCCAAAATGTTCTTGGACATCCAGTTCTTGATGCTGAAGGGGGAGACATTCAAGATGAAAACTCAGTGTTACAGTATTTCCCTCACCCTAACTCCACTGGCTCCAGAAACAACATGTTTCTTATGTTAAGTCTAATGTTGAGCTTTTCTATAGGGAATGCAAGGAGCAGTCACCTGAAAAAGGTCTGAAATCTACTTCAGATGAATTTCAAAATGAAATTTCTGCCTCTTCCACTGCCATTTCATTTCAGCAGCAGTGCTGAGCAGCAGAGCCCTGTCAGGCATTGTCTTGTTGAGGTCTGCAATGTTTACAGCACACACCCACAAAGGTGTGTTGGTTGCTAATGCCCAAGAGAATGTTTTCAATGTGATTAAAGAATGTGAATGTGCTTCTGGGTTGAGCCTGAATTAACGAAATTCCTGTACTGCAGAACAGATGAGATGGGCTGCGAGGTGTTTTGAGAATGGCTTTCAGCAGGGCAAGGAGCCTGGCAGAGCTCAGGGCCTGCAGAGCTGCCCGCTTGCCCCCTAAGAAAGAGGATGTGCCTCACATGGGAGCACAAGGTGATTTTTCCAGATGGTGTTCAGAGGGCAAGGAGTGGAGGCAGAATGACATCAGGACTTGTTGCAAGGTATTTATACCTACTTAAAATATGATTCAATTTCTGTAGAATATTCATCTACAAAACAAACAAACAAAACAAAAACAAAAACAAAAACAAAAACATATCTTATGGTGGTTTTTTTACTGATTCAATCTTAGCAAAAATATCCAGGATGAAACTGTAGTGAAAGTAAATCTTACTTCCTTTTACAAACTATTTGTGTGATGTTTGCAGGAAGAGACTGCAGCAGGTACAGCTGAAGAGATCAAGGTCATATAAACCATCCTTGGGAACAGCTTCATTTTAGAAAGAAAGATTTTTTTCACCTCTCCTTTTGTGCAATGTTAGGCCTCGAAATGCTAGCAGACCTAAGACTTGTCCGATGTGGTGATGGTAGATCAGGGAAAGAGCAGAAGTAGAAAAGAAGATCCTAAATAATTCCCCACTGGCATCAGCCCCTCCAGCTTCCTCAGAGTCATACAGGGTGTCCTAGGACACACAGAAACCCAAGGGAAGAGAGAGGAAGCTTGTCAAAGAGATGTATTACCGCCAAGCACAAGAACACTCCTAGCATGCAAGTGCTTTTGAAAAAGGAGGGAGGGGGGAAAAAAAGCAACCTGCCACTAATATGTGAAGTAAAAGCTGGAAAACACTTTTCATCTACCAGCTTTAACATGGCACCAAGGAGTTGTAAGTTAACAAGGTACAGGGGCATCAAAGTGAAAAATGTTAGGAAAACACTTGAGTAGACTTGGGAGAGGTATAAAAGTATCAGATGCATTAAGTGAAGAGACAGCAAGAATAAACAGTGGCTTCTTGTTGGGAAGACTGTAATAGATAAGCATTTGTTTGACACATTGTAGTTAAACAAAAGGACTTTTGGCATTTAAAGAAGAATGCTAAGGGAAGATTCTTCTTATCTTAGCAGACACAAAGGCTGGTTATATAAAAATGTGCATGTTGATCATCCAAACATAAAATGCCATCTCACTAAGGGCTTAGGCACACATGGAGTGCTGCGAAAGCAGCTGCTCCTGAGCAGGCCTGTAGTGAGAGCACAGTGGAAATATTCCTTAGCATTAAAAGAGATAAGCCCTTAAGCTAACAGGT